AGACTTTAACTGCGGTTTGGAAGTAGGTATGATACCGAGAAAAAGACTTTAACTGGGGTTTGGAAGTAGGTATGATACCGATAAAGTCTTTACTTTAACTGGGGTTTGGAAGTAGGTATGATACCGATAAAGGGAATTTCGGTCAGAACAAGCTACCTTCTTATAAAATTAAACATCAACTTGGTAATGGGTATAGTTAATTAAATATTCGTTTCTTACGTTCTTACTTATAGAGAATATGATGTACTATTTCATGAGTTGGGTACTATCTCTTTAACGACATTTTCTCGGAGGGTATCTGTGCTAGTCGTTCTTAACTTTGAAGTGATAGACCAGAGGGAAGACAGCTAGTCAACATGACTCATCGCCGACTTATGGGCTACTCTTATCTATTTTTAATGTGCTACCCCCCCACCCCCCCCACACACTTTTCATTATTAATGGCGCCACTTTTAAACAATGCCAGGGCTTAGATGTCGCCACGATACTTTCCTGATGGTGTAGTTGTCGTTAGTGTCTTTATCGTTCAGTAATGACTTGACCAAATATTTTATTATTCTCACAGGAGATAAGCATGAAATGCTGTTCTCATTTTATGTTCCATTTGTTCGTGAAAACGTCAATTGTTTGTTTTATTTGTATATATGTATGTTACGCATTTCGTTTCTTTTTCACCGAAATTAAGATTGAAAAGAGAATCTGTGACGTAGAGGCCTAATGCATTTCTTGATTGGCCTTTGTTGTGGGCGCCCCCCAGTGTCACAGCGATAAGTCCGCGAACTTACAATGCAAGAAACCGGGTTTCGATACCCGTGGTGGGCAGAGCACAGATAGCCCATTGTGTGGTTTTGTGCTTAACTTCATACAAACAAACAAAGTGTTGTGGATTTCTGTTTCGCCTATTCAAGTTTCATCAGCACAGGAATGCATTAGGCCTCTATGCCACAGATTCTCTTTTCATTCTAACCTTCGGTGAAAACGGAACGAAATGTGTAACATAAATAATCATTAAACAGTTGCATTATTCAGGGACCTAAATTAATTTAATCGAAACCCGGTTTTTAGCATTATAAATTTTCAGACTTACCGCTGAGCCACAGTGGAGAGGCGTATAACCACAAAAATAACAATATTATAATAACTGTAATATTGATGGAATTTTGTGTGTGTGTGTGTGTGTGGTAAACTTATGTTATTAGGAACTTTGCAATCAACAGTTATGGATGGACCCAAAGGCAATTTGGTGCATAAATAATTTAGTGAAATCGTGTTTTAAAAAGCACATATGGAAACACTACTGATAGCTCTAGGGTAAATGCTGTGTTGTATTTTCTTATTTGTTGCCCTAATAGATCGTCATAGTGAAGACAGAGCCTCTAGTGTTCGAACCCTGGTAGTATAGTAGGTCAAAGTATCTACGTCAGGAGACTTTAGTATGAAATGATAAAGACCTTATGTTTATGAAGGTCTGGTACCAGATTTAATCCACGTTGTGTTTTCTTGTTCGTTTCAGAGAGGGAAAGAATCTAATGGTGTATACCACTATACTCTTGCACAGTGTGAAGACAGCTTAGGACCGGAACGAAGAGTCGACGTTCATAGATATGTCTGTGAATCACACCGTACTGAAACAAAGCTTAGCGTTGATGATGATATCAGGGCTTTTTATTTATTTCCTGTGGATGGACATAGCGCTATATCATAACGTTCAGCACATAGCTCCAGTTTTACCCAACTCCAAACGGTCACACGACAAAAGTTCTTCACTTATTTCACCGTTCACAGGTCTCTCGGTGAAGATGATGATGATGGATCCTATAAATAATTACATACTCACACCCATAGCTCAGTTATTCAATTACGTAAGTTTCACTTGCTCCATTTACCAAGTGTAATAGTTATTTAGATGTCTCTCTAATCAGAGTTTCTCGCAAGGCATTATACTTTCCTATACAGACGGTTTTTTTTTTTTTTTTTTACTTCAGACAATGTTTGTTTCTCAAAGTTCAGTATCGTACAATCGGTCTGTTTGGACGAGGTCAGCTGTTTCTGTCCAAATATACTGTATTACAAGCAATGTTTGACTTACAGGCTGTGGTGCTTAATGATCGGCCTGTTGCAGTTAATGCTTTAGAGCCGTAAGATGACGCTACCGTGATGTGTATTTATTAGCGAAACTGAATGCATATAAACAAATATATATGACAGTACAATAATATATATAACAATATAATATAATATGTATGTCAATATAATACAATATGTATAACAATATAATACAATAATATGTATAACAATATAATAATATGTATGACAATATAATACAATAATATATAGAACAAAATAACACAATAATATATATATATAACAATATAATACAATATGTATAATTATAATTCAATAATATGTATGACAATATAATACAATAATATATAGAACAAAATAACACAATAATATATATATATAACAATATAATACAATATGTATAATTATAATTCAATAATATGTATGACAATATAATACAATATGTATAACTATATAATACAATATGTATAACAATATAATACAATAATATGTATAACTATAATTCATTAATATGTATGAAAATATAATTCAATAATATGTATAACTATAATTCAGTAATATACTTAACAATATAATTCAATAATATGTATAACTATGAAAATTAAAAAAAACCTTTTACCGCCGACTGTTTGCTCCATACCATCAACCATAGTGATTACATTTTGAATACCTAGATTCAGTTGTCAAACAAATGTACCATGTTTAACTAAGCTTCACAAAATATCCACCAGGTTATAATGAATATTTTCAATAGAGCCATTTCAACGTTAGATGTCACAATTTTCGTTAAACAATGGTCTAGTTTTGTAACACCGAAAGAATGTTTTTAAACTATATACTCTTCACAGAGTAACATCCAGATTGTTCTAGAAGAAACAGTTCGTTTTATACTCCCTTATACTCGTTAGAGAACCGGTTTCATATGTTTGACTGTTCTTCCGCTGGAAACATTAACATTAAGAATTTTAAAATTAAAATTAATAGTATGAGAAAATAATATAATTTAAATATATATGATAATAAACAGTTAACCATGTTTCACTTGTTATTGGTCGTTCAAAATTTTCTGGACGGTCTTTTCGTGTATTTAGTTAAAATTTCCTACATTCGTTTTTTCTAATTGTTTCGTCCTCGTGTAGTTTTTTCATAAATTGTTGGATTTTATTAAATGTATTAAATGCGTTATTTTCTGTGGTGTAACTAAAATAGCTGGTTAGGGATTCAGTCTTATTACATGATAGGTCTACTTCTAAATTTCTTACTTTAGGTGGCTCGAAGTAAGTCATGGAGTTATTTTTCTATTGGATATTTACGAAACCATTTCTTTATGAATGTAAATTTCCATTGGATTATTGGAGGTCTATAGTCACTTCTAACCTTGGAGTAAAATTTGATCCTTTAAATAATAGTTTTATTTCACCTTGATCTTAATTCCTCGTTGATAATTTTAAGACTTTAATGATTTCACTGGGGGAAGATCTAAGTTTTATATTATTAAGTTCATAAGTGAGAGTTCATCTTTCTTTATTATTGATTTTGAGTCTTCGTAAAATCTTCTCAACCTTTTCAGGTTATTTGAATATCCCTAAACTAACTTTTTCAACGATTTTAACCATTTTATCTGCTACTTTTGTTTCTCGTATCATAATGGTTATAGTTTCCTTCTTTAAATATATATATATAGACCAGCCTGGGCATCATTACTTATACATTTCGGTTTATAGAGAATACAATATATTGTTTCATCAATTGGTACCCTTGCTGTTACGATATTTTCGGCCGTATTCCTAATAATATCTTAGGAGATTTAAGTTAGGCCTAAATATAAATCCCGCGCTAACAATTCAAATTAATCTTTATAATAAAAGTATAATAATGAACAAATTAAAATAAAAAGTAATAACAATAATATTAATGAAAGTAACAATAAATAAATAATATTTATACCTTACTTATGGAACACGCAAACACTGACTTTAAGAAGTAAGTTAAATTTCTTTGAAATTGTAATATATATATACTTTTATTTCTAATATGGCGACCATCCCTAGTAAGTCAACAGGCGTACAGCGCTAAAATTTAGGTTTCGAGCACGGATAGCCTATTGCGTAGCTTTGCTCTTAACAACAACGAAACTAAGTGAAGTAGAAGGACAACGTTAATTCTTTGTTTTTGTCACCTGGTTGAACAGCGACAAAATCAGGTGTTCGATTCCTCTCGGTGGACACAGCAGATAGCCCGATGCTATAAACACACACGCTTGCACAAAAGTATTTGTTTTTTCAATTTTAAAGGATAGAGTGTCAGTTTTAGTTTTTCTTTTCTTTGTTTTCAGTTATATATATATATGGTATGTAAAAACAAGTGGTTCTTCTTCAGTGCTCTACAAGTCAATTTATCTTGATTTTTATTTCTATTTTCCAGGCTACGTCTTTCAGCGAAAAGTGTTACGTCATCACCCCCAACATGATCAGTTTCACAGGCCTAGTGTTTGCCGGGTTTGCTGCAAGATGTGTGGTTTCTGACAACATTATTAGACAACGTATCGCCGTGCTACTCTTCCAGGGAAGAACCTGGTGCGACGCACTAGATGGCATAGTTGCTCGAGCCCGGATGGGCATGGTCAAGCATGCGTCATTGCGGTCGACTCCTGGCTACGTGATAGACGGGTTAGCCGACACACTGGGATTTACAGCGTTCCTAGTGGGCTGTTATTACTATCTTCGTCGGTGGCCGCCCAATGAAAGCCACTATCGTGTCTTGTCCTCCAAGGAACACCTGGAGAAGAATGGTGGTCACGCGGGCGAAAATGGGAGCCAAACTAATTGGACAGCTAGAAGACTCTTTTATGTTGTCTTCTGTTTCGGAATGCAGATAGCTGTCAGTGCCTTCTTCTGGGACCGATATATCCACAGTTATTCAGAACTTCTAGAAACCCCCCAGTCCACTGTGGGGACAGCGGTAAGACAGATATAAATTAAAAACTATATATAAATTCATATTTAATTCATAAATAAATTATGCGTAAGGGTGAGAGGTCAAGAGGTTTGGTAGAATGTTCATTGTTAACTAAATATCATGTGTGGCCTAGTGGTTATGGTGCCCGGAGTGTGAATAGTTCGCGTACGTTGCCACAAAGGTGCTTTCCGCACATTGGGGCCATGGATGTGCTATAAGAGTAACAGTCAAAACCCACTATTCATTTAGTGAAAAGTAGCCCCAAGAATTGGCGGTGGGTACTGTTGAATAACTGCCTTCCCTCTAGACTATCATTTCAAAAATTAGGGTCTATACACGTATAACCCTTGTCCATAGTTCATAGTTTTGTGTTAGGGTTAGGTTGTCGATATCTTTGGTTTTGTTTCTAATTCTGTTATAAAGTCATAAAATAAATTATATTTCAGTTAATAATCGTTGTTATATCTACTTAACGTTTTTGTTTGTTTGATGTTTTAAAACGTACACAAAGAAATCAGATTCAGGTTAAAACGACACGTTCAATAGTTATCATTCTTTTTCTCAGTCAATATTAACATGTATTATACAGCGTACACACTGCACATTCATTTATGTATTCCTATATGTAGCCTAACATGCATTATACAGCGTACACACTGCACATTGATTTATGTATTCCTATATGTAGCCTAACATGTATTATACAGCGTACACACTGCACATTCATTTATGTATTCCTATATGTAGCCTAAGATGTATTATACAGCGTACACACTGCACATTCATTTATGTATTCCTATATGTAGCCTAACATGTATTATACAGCGTACACACTGACATTGATTCATATATTCCTATATGTAGCCTATTTTATTGTGTCAAGAAGATAATGCCACAAGTCAAGGACATGAGGTTATGGTGAGATTCTCCATGTTCCAAGTATCCACTGTTGTAGGGGGGTCGGGCGTGGTCAAGGGCTACTTTGCTGTAGTGTGAGTCTGAGGGTCCGTGGCTCTCTCCATTGCCACACAAACGCTCTCTGCATTTTAGACCATCGGTGTATTATAAGAGCGACAGTCAACTCCCATTACTTGATTAAAGTAGTCAAAATGTTGGCGGTGGGTGGTGTTGACTAGCTGCCTTCTCACTAGGTATCAGCCCAAATGGCCCGGCATGGCCAGGTGGTTAGGGTGCTCGACTTGCAATCTGCCACAGTTCGAATCCCCGTCACACCAAACATGCTTGTCCTTTCAGCCGTGGGGGCGTTATAAAGTCACGGTCAATCCCACTATTCGTTGGTAAGAGTAGCCCAAGATTTGGCGGTGGGTGGTGATGACTAGCTGCCTTCCCTCTAGTCTTACACTGCTAAATTAGGGACGGCTAGCACAGATAGCCTTTGTGTAGCTTTGCGCGAAATTCAAAACAAACAAACAAACAATCAGCTCAAACTTCGTAATAGCTAGCACTTGGATATATGTTTGGGAGGAATTTCCGAAACAAACGAACAACCCATTATGGTCAGTAGTTATCACATACTAACCCCCTCTTCTGTAAAGTTTCGTCCACCGGTGGGACAGCGGTAAGTCTATGGATTTACAATGCTAAAATCAGCGGTTCGATTCCCTTCAGTGGACACGACAAATAGTCCGATGTGGCTTTGTTATAAAACACGCACACACACTCTAAAGATTGTTTTAAATTTTTCTGGGGGGGGGGGGGGGAGAAAAAGAGATCAAACCTATTGTAAACTGTTTTTGTGATTTAGGGGTCTATTGCTCATTTTGGCATTATATATGTGCGTTTAGTTCAGTTTTTATATTAAGCTCTAGTCTTCTTCCTCTTTAGTAGAGGTCGCCGTCCTTCACATCTGTTACCCACATCCAATCATCTCTGTTGGTTGCCAGGTCTTCTGCATTTCTTTCCTCGTTCATGTCTTCTTTGGTCCCATCTTTCCAACGCATTAGTTCTGGTTACTGGCTGATCTAATGCTTTCCTTATTACTTATTGTCTCTTCTTCTCGTGACCGCCTAACCACCTTTTTCTTGGTTCCACAAACTCCAGCCATTTCCTTATTCGTTCTCTTCTTTTTCACCAACACTCCGAGAAGCCATCTCAGCATTATCGTGTCTGTTATTATCAACAAGCCTTCCGTCTTCAGGGTCCAGGGCTTTGGCCTCATAGAGGAGGACCTATTCTAACCACTGTCTTATGCACTTAGTAACCTTTTGTCATAGATACAGTCCCTTGCAAAAGTATTCACTCCCT